TAACCATAAATACATAATTGAACAAAACATTTAATGACTCCAAACTTAGGATTTAAAAAGATATTAAGTTTTTATCAATACTGAATAATTATGTGTTACACAGTTATGTTGTTTTTGAAAGAAATACTTAAAATATACATAAACGTTCGCATAGGACGTCCCTTTCCGACTCTTCCATTCACTTCTACAGCATAAATTTGCTTTGTCACTCTTTCCTCATTCATTTACATACAGACGAAACTACCGAAGAATACCTTTCTTAATCCTGGTCAAAGCATCATCTTCCATACCACACTCTTCTTTTATAATAGAATTTCTCACTCTATCACTCAGATTCAGCCCTAACGTACTCCTTAACGACCGCATTTCCACTGCCTATAATCTACTCTCGTGCTTCTTCTACCACACCCAACTCTCACTACCATACGTTAAAGTTGGGACTAACACAGCATTGTGAATTGCCATACGTGCCGTTTTGGACACATTCTGACTTTTCACAATAGAGTGTAGAACCCCATTTACTTTGTCCTGCGTTCTCTATCGTCGTTCTATATCCTTATCATATCTCCCACCCCTGCTGAATACTCATCCCAAATATGCAAACTCATCTACTTGCTCGACCAACTCCCCTTCTATTGTTATTTCACATATCGTTTTACTTTCTTCTCTTTCAAAAACCAAAACTTTCATCTTACTTGCGTTAACTTTCATACCCGACTATTATAGTATACTTTTATAGTTCACTTTTATGGTACATGGTGAACTGACCGTTAATGAAAAGGTTACCGTGTACTATAAAATAATCTTAATAAATCATAAAACAACGTGAAAATTGTATTTGTATCTTTTGTTTCTTTAAACTTTCTCAAATTAAGCTTAGAATAATCACTTTATACGAGAACCAGTAGTCAAATAAACACGTCTTTTTTACAGGACAGATTAAACCTAGGCTTATTGGTCGGGTAAACCTAATTCCTCAAGATCAGATTTAGTTCCACTTACGTTATGAAAGATATTGTCAATACAGGAACCACTGCTTGGTCTTGTCGGTACTTTGAACGATTGTTTTAAGTTGAATCCAATATTCAGGTGCTCCAGCTTCATGGCTTCTTATTCTTTTTCAGCATATCAATATTAAGGTCACCACAGACAACAACTCTTTGTACCATTTTTAGTTAAAATACATAAGATGTTATTTAAAATATTGAAAATGATATCAAGATATTCAGTAGAGTTTTTGCTATTTATACAATTATTACAACATTTGAATATACTTTGTTAATACACTTCTTTCCAAACTATGTATGACACACACACTCACACACACACCGCGTGCACGCACGCACGCACGCTCGCATACACGCACGCACTAATACACGCACGTACGCACAAACGCACACACGCATGCACCCGCGACGCACACTCACACATATTTACATCGGTATATAATTTGGTTCTAATTTAAAATTTTATTATCAAAACATTCGGGATCTACGAACTAAGACTGACTAGCTTTACACAGACAAAATTAATTCGTAATAAATGCAATACACATTAATTTGTACTCTGTAAACAAAAACAAGGGGTTTCTTTGCAGAGTAACCGACATAGCCCGACGGATTAGTAAGCTGGGCCCGGCCATATACTTGATAATGCTTGATGATGAGGTCATATACTAGATGGTCCCGGAACTTAATTTTCGTATGCACATTTTAAATATTTGTAAAAAAGCTTTTAGGAGTCTCGGCTTTATAGTAAGACAGTGTAGGGATTTTCTCTCGTGAGAAGTCAACTTGAAACGAACGCGTATTTCTCACAGAAATCCAAATAATAAGGCAATTGGATTTTTGTGGTTACCACGGCCCATGCTGTTGTAGCTCAGGGCTAAGCGTTCGCTATTAATTTCACAGAACGCGAGCAACCCGGGTTGAATCCCTGCCGGCGCCAATGAAATTGTTAATTGAATCATTACGTACTCATTTAACGTGTGCTCGACGGTACAAGAAAACAGCGCGAAGAATCTTGCAGTTAAAAACTAGACTAGGAATCCCCCGTAAGACTCTTTCTCCGTCTTGTTCATCTGGGTAGGTATCACCCTTTCTCCCTATTACCGCTGCCTGCTTGCCTGCAGTGCTTGCCTGCAGTGCTTGCTTGCAGTGCTTGCCTGCAGTGATTGCCTGCAGTGCTTGCCCGCAGTGCTTGCTCGCAGTGCTTGCCTGCAGTGTTTGCCCGCAGTGCTTGCTTGCAGTGCTTGCCTGCAGTGCTTGCCTGCAGTGCTTGCCCGCAGTGCTTGCCCGCAGTGCTTGCCTGCAGTGCTTTCCTGCAGTGCTTGCCTGCAGTGCTTGCCTGCAGTGTTCCAGTATAAAGGGTATAGAAACTCAGTATAATTAAAGACTGTAAGACATTTCACCTTAGTCCTCAGGATGGCAATGTGTCTATAGCCTTCTTTGTTTGAAGTTGGCTGCAGCTGTCCATGGACTGCAGTAGCCACTTACCATCAGGAGAACTATAAGTTCGTTTGTCACTTCACTTCAAGTGATATCATTTGAAGACAAAAAAAACCTTAAAATTATATTGTGTACTAAGAAACCGACTGGGATCATTTCCAGTTGGAATCTGGGGGCACGGCAATGCCCCCGCCAAGTCGAGCAAGCCGCGGCCGTAACATACTTTTCTCGAAGCAATTCAGGCCAAACTTCGTAGTGGATAAAACTAGAAGCTTGAATTTTAACGCACTAAGCAATCTAATTTAATATAATATGTATTATGTTTTCATGCGATGACTAAGTCAATCCATTTATTTGAAACATAAAAGATTTTTAACATTCATACGGTCACTATAAAATTTTGTTAGCTTAGCTAATTACGTAATAACTTAAAACAAAATGACCCTTGAATAGGGACTGAATAAATTAACCGACTTTTCATTACATGGATCTCACAACTTTTTACGGTAGAAAAACTGGACTTGGTTTTTTTTACAAGTTATGTTTTTGATGACATGAAATTGTGAAGGGAAACATGATATGTGATTTCCAAGTGTATTTTTCTAAGACATTTAAAATAAAACTGAATTCAATCACATCACATGTGCACTGCTGAGGCTGAAGGAACGCCCTAAATCCATAGATTTCCTGCACCTCTTACCAAGTCGTCCCTCCATATTCATATTAATTTCATACATGGTACAGCCACGCCGTCGCTATACTATGTTTGTAGCACAAATGGGTCGGCTCAATCGGGAAGCACGCTCTCACAGAATACCTAAAATAGCAGCTTAATACTGTCGTGTTTCTTATGGTGAATGTAGAGATCCGGAGACCCTTTTTTACTGGAAACGAGGCATTCAATCTTAATCCTCAGGGGTGACAGCGCATCTGTGTTTTGATTCTAAAATCGAGGATAAATGTAGATGTCTATGGGCCACAGCATCCACTTACCATCAGATGGACTGTGTGCTCGTTTGTCACACTCATTCTATAAAAAAGGAGGTGCCGCCCTACGTTTTGCTGAAACTGCCACTTCAAAATCTTACTTCCTCATCAGTTTTCGATTCTTGGGGCTATATGATTAGCCCATGACTACTTTAGCTTACTGCTCCATTGGGCTATGTCGTTTATTCATGTTTTACTGCCGATATCCACATTAGTAAGTCAATCACGCTGAGAAGCAATCTCCATAGTGTATTGGGGGACCTTGAGCTTTCACGACTTTTTTTTTCACGGCTCAGATTCGTATGTCATCACTGACACTATTTTTATACACTCTCGTTTTCAAATTTTAGGTATACGCAACGAGAAGATGTATCGTAATCTCCCGAACGTTGATCAGTCCAGTTGGATCCATTAATTGACCTCTTGATCGAAGCTGGATTTATCTCACGGAGCAAAATCTTATCTAGTCGGTACTCGTCAAAAACTTTAAACATAATACTTCCAACAACTGCCGACATAATTAGATTATGTTTTAAATAAAACTCCAAAAAATGTCGTGCAAAACATTGTAATCATTGTGTCAAAAAAAAGTTAAAAAACAAGTTATCCTTAACTTGTTCTTAGGCATTTACTCCAATTTAAAGTATATTTCAAAGCTTAAAGTTATTTTCTTAAGATATCAAAATAGAAAAATAATAATTTTATTTCACTTCCAAATTACGTTTTATTTATTACAAGTATAAAATGACATAACCGATTGTGTTATACATTGCTACACCTTGATTTCACTCCTATAACTAAAATGATTGCATGTAAATGATATAAATGAAACTTTTTAGGCGACAAAGTATCAGTTTTAATTCAGCCTTCGAAAATGGTGCTTCTCATCGCTATATTGTGCCTCCAGGCATTTTTAATAAACGTAAGTGCATGAACATCAATTTCCAATTTTGTAGGATTTTGCCCGAAGTAGACTTTGTTTTAAATATCTTAGCATAGGCCTTCCCCAGAAATTTCCATAAATTTTACACCTTCTGTACAGGTTGAAATGCTTTTTAGTAGGGAATATGCTATGTATTTATCAGTGTAAAGTTTTTAATCAATTATTTATGCAGAAATTAGAATACACCTATTGTAATCGATTTTGCTAATCGAACTGTGATTGTAAAATATTCATATTATGTTAAATGGACTAAGGGCCCACAATATAATTAATACCTCCAGACCGAATTTCGGCCACGGTGGCCTGCCTCAACGGAGGCTAGCCATCGGCGCAGGACAGGATTATAGTGCCCAAGTGTATGCGCAACCACAGGTGCACTCTCTATTCCCTCACTCTCATAATCCGATGGGACGGTAAACCGACACAACCGGAGAGAGATCAGGCGCAGCACCAACGGCTTTACGTGCTTTCCGAAGCACGGGAGTGAGGCACCGCCAACTTCCAGACTCCGGGCAACTACTGAGAATTTCTTGACGGAAAAACTCAATAATTAATTCTAATGATAATAAACTACATAAAACAATAATTATAACATTTGCCTTGAACGAACTAAGATCTATCTTATGTTTCAGGAAACGTTTGGATTACCAACACCTTCAATGGGTCCAGGATGTGCAAATGGTGCACTTCGAAATAACATGTTAGCACAAACAATACTACCTGGTGCCCCAATAGAAGCATTCCCTTCCGTGGCAACTCCATTCATTAACAGCATACAAGTGACGCCAACTATATCTGAATTGGTGCCTTCTTTGCAATACGGAGATATAACAATGGGAGGAGAATTGCCCATTGGTGGCACCATAAAAGTGTGCGGGTGCTTCCCTGTTTATGGTATGATTGCAGTGGATGGCGCCTTGCCATCTGCTGGATCAGCAGTAGTTGACGATGTCTTTGGCAAGCAATCGCTTGAAGTTAGATGTGGTAATCCATTCTATTAAGTTGTTTTTTGGGCATTGATATCGCTTGGAAGATAATTTGTTGCAGTATATTATTGCCACAATCATACATATTCAATGTATGCATTAGTTGGCATGACATTATTTTAAAAGTTGTTGTTCTTAGTTGTATAATAACGTTTTCTGGATTAATAAACCGTCGAAAATATTTATTACATTATTTATTTCTAAAATTTCTATCTTCCCTTAAATGTTAAGGACTAATTTAAAGGTTTATATAATTTAAATGTTTATATAATGTACCTTATAATTCACAGACTGGAAAAGTCTGTGAATTATTGAAAAGACTGAGAAAGAAAGAAGATCCATTTAATGGATTATTAAAAGCTGTGAAAGATTTTTATTATAAAATAAGGGTGAAAAACGAGCACACAATCCACCCGATGGTAAATGGATGCTGTAGCCCATAGACATATCCATTCTATCCTCGAATAAGAATCAAAATGCAGATGCATTGGTGGCACCCCAGAAGACTAATATGGAATGCCTTGTTTCCAGTAAAAAGGGTTTCAGGTTTTTTATACTCACCATACGTAACACAGCAGCATTGCGTTGATGCTACGTGCTACCACGTAAAGTTAAGTTACTCGTATTAATTTTATACGAAACTAACATAGTAACAACAATTATTACAAACTACGTAAGCAACGTCTAAATGTAAGCATGCTTCCTTCAACAAAAACGGCATCTTATCCTTAGCATTGATAAAGCTTTGCCATACCTAATTTAGGTGAAAAATGGTCTATCTTCTCTTCTTCTTTGTCCAACCCTCTTCCCAGTTTAGCTGGGGTCGGGTCTCCTTGTACGATTTCGCCAGAGATGTCTACTCTAGCTTATCGGTGTACTCAGGTTTTCTCTCAGGATCTCTTTCTGCATGTTTGACCACCAGGTGGCACGTGATCGTCCTCTTCCTCGCGGACAGTTAGGAATATTTAAAGCTATACGTATTTGATGGTCATCATTTCGCCTAAGGATATGGCCGTACCAACGCATTCGGCTTTCTTTTAGCTTTTCAGCTATAGGTGCTACCTTAAATGATCCCCTGACGTATTCATTTCGTACTCTGTCTAGTCGGGTCACACCTCCCGCCCATCTTAGCATTCTCAATACATTCGCGTGCATTTGTTGTTCGTGTGCCTTTTTATGGTCCAGCACTCTGCTCCGTTCGTCATGGCAGGTCTTATTACCGTTTTGTATACTTTCCTTTTCACGCTGATGGGCATGTTGCGATCACAGAGTACTCCCGACAATGATCTCCATTTAAGCCAGGCAGTATTGATGCGGTAATCTACGTCTTTGTCAACGTTAGCGTCCGGTGTAAGTATAGAACCTAGGTATTTGAAGCTGTCCACTTTGGGTAGTGCACGGTTGTCCATGTAAATCTCGCAACCCGTTTCTGCCGTCCCTCCGTAGTCGTATTCTAAATATTCGGTTTTATTTCGGCTTACACGCAGTCCGTGGTGCTCTATTTGTGTTACCCACTGATTGAGTGACCCTTGCAGGTCTGTTGCATTCTTCGACATTAGGACTATATTGTCCGCGTAGAGCATACAATCTGGGATGGCTTTTTGTATCTCTCATGTGATGTAATCCAAGCAGAGGTTAAATAGCAGCGGGCTCGAGGCTGATCCCTGATGAACCCCCACTTTTACGTCGAAAGAGTCACTGAAACCAGTGGGGCTATTGACGCGCGTTTTGGTGTTCTTATACATACCATGGAATATTGATGGTTTTACTCAGGGACATTTTGGGCTCTCATGGCTTGCCATATTAGGCTTCTGGGTACTCTATTAAAGGCCTTTTCTAGATCAATGAATAGGAGGTACAGATTCTCTTTGTACGATGGATGCTTCTCCATCACAACTCTAATAGTTTGTATGGCATCGATGCTAGATTTGCCAGGTGTAAAACCGAACTGATTATCAGTTATTTGAGAATTATACCTTATTCAATAGACAATAATTCTTTCGAACAGTTTAAGAGTGTGTGATGTGAGCTTTATCCCTCTGTAGGAACTGCATTGGGCGATATCCCCTTTTTGTTTATATATAGGGCATAAGGTACTATTACGCCAGGATTCTGGGATTCTGCCTTCTTTAATAATACAGTTTGTTAGGCTTAGTGAGCCGAGGTAGTGCTGCTTCATTTAACTTCTTCCATATATCTGCTGGTATCTGGTCGGGGCCAGTAAATTTGTGGTACTTCATTTTGGATATGGCCTCCATCACCTCAGCTGAGATACATTTAATAGGCCCTTCGGTAGATGGAATATAAGGCAATGTCTTACTGGTCTATATAACTTATATTCTAGGAACTACTGCTCTAAACTTTTTTTTAAATATAAGTAAGATTGACAAACAAAACAGTTATTTAAAATATAAATTCTAAATTACATTTAAAAATAGGTGAAAATACATTTTTAGTGACGTGTTTTATCGCATTATTAAACCAAGATGAAATATGTGATGAAAATGTGATAAGAAAATAGTTATAGAAATATTTTAAATTAATGTTCATTAGAAGGCTGATTTATTTGGAATGGTTCTTATTTTTAGTTATTTTTGCTGCAAATATGACGTTTAATAATTATTATCAACGCTTGTATATTATATACTCGTAGATTTTACTTTCAAACATTTAACATCCTTGCAATAAAATGGTAAACCTCCTGATACTGTAGCCAGGACAGTCAATATAATCAAACGTTGAAACTCAAATCTTAGTCAAATTACGGGTCAGGATTCATTTTAATTTTGATTTATGGTTGTAGTTAGCGATACGAAAGCTTTTTCTTTCCGAATCTTTGACAAATTAATATTGTGTGCTGCAGTCTAGGACTTGCCAGATATTTGTAACCATTTGAAACCATTTAGTATCTGATGGACATTTTACTAGTTTGTCAACTTTATGCTATAAAAATAAAACACAGAAGTACTTATTCGTTGGAATACTCGTGTTAGGTGAACCTACGCGATAAGATAGAAGCTAGATTACAACGTAATATCAGGTATACGGGGACATTACAACACAATCAAACCAATAATCTATAAGTACATATATTTATTTCACGTAACGGCACCAATTAAAATAAAGTATAAGACGAAGTATATTTTGTAGACACTGCCAATGACAACATTCTTGTACAGCACGTGTAGATAATCATCATCAGAGAGGCCTATGTTCACAAGTCCACTGCTGAATATAGGCCTCTCCCAAGGAATACCACAGAGCACGGTCCTGAGCCACCTACATCCATCGACTTCCTGCATGTCTTTCCAGGTCGTTACTCCATCTAGTGTGGTGTCCCAATACACTTCGCCTACCCGTACGCGGTTGACACTCGAGAAGCTTTTTTCCCCATCGGTACGTGTAAATAGTGATGTCTAATCCATGTCTTTGCACAAACTTTATCTACGGCTGGCATTCGAACTCAGAATCTGCGGCGTAATAACAAAATACTCCGACAATTAGGCCACACGGACAACAATTAACCAATGGTTATCAATCATTAAATTTTTGGTATATATATAACTTAGTATAGGGAAGAAAATAGTCGGCCATCTTGATAAATCTAAGTTGATTTTTTTAAATAATATTAAAGTGACAAACGGGTGTATAGCTTAACTGCATAGCCAAATATTAAATTAAATTCATTTTACGGATTATATCGTATCTGATTTTATCTTTTTATAAACATCGCGATAAAATTGGTAAAATTATTTTACTCAATCTGAATAGACAATGACTATACTAAGAATTGCCAAGTCTGAAATAGCTAGCCGGAAAATTCGCCATGACGGTAGCTGAGATGCTATTTGAAGCTGTAATTGTCAATAAATCTGGTTCAGTTGTAAAGATTGACCTCTTCCAATAATTGAGTTATAGTCAGGTGAGATAAGACAACATAGTTTTCGACCAAAAAAAACGTCTCTTATGAAGAAGTTTATTGCCCTACTTATAAAGTATCTGGGGGCACGGCAGTAGCAGTCAAGTCGAGCAAAAAAGCGCACCCCTATAATTTCGTAGTGGATAAAACTAGAAGCATAAATTTTCAGTAACCTAGTAAACATTGTATAAACATGGTATATTTCAAATTTCATTCAAATTTAACTAGTAGTTTAAGAATTATAACTAGTCAAAGTTTCTTAATTTTGTCACTCACTGACTGACCGATCATCAAAACTCTAAGGCACTTCTAGCAGTCATTTAGACATTTAGACAAATTTAGAATACAATTAGTGCTTAGTGTATAAATTAATGAAAAACTGAAATATTTCAGTCCAGTTTTCTAGATACATCAACTGCATAAGTAACTTTGTAATCTCATATATATATATATATATATACATAGAATTACATTTGCAGTAAATGAATCAGTGTACTTGTAGTGTGTAGATAGGTACGTTGTTGGTATTCAAGAAGTAGAAGGTACCGGAAAGGAAAAAAGTAGGACTATCTTATCTACAAAAAGAACTGAAACGCAATCAAAAACATGACTTGTAAAAAAAACCAAGCATCTCAACGCATCTCAGTTCTTCTACCGTAAAAAGTTGTAAGATCCATGTAATACCAATTCGGTTAATTTTATCAGTCCCTACTTAAGGGTCCTTCTGTTTTAAGTTATTACGTAATTAGCTAACTAACAACATTTTATGACAATATCTATGTTAAAAATCTTTTATGTTTTAAATATATATATTGAGGTACCTTGTGTTTTCATGGCAACTCAATCTATTGATGTTCAGTTGCCTTTATGCTGTCAAATTCAAATCTACTGAAGACTGGAGAGTTTATTATGCAAACATGGTACAAATAACAATATTATAATTCCGTATTTACGAGTCAACAAGTAAACAACACGAGAAAGAAGTGTGATGAAACTCAATTCAAAGGAAGGAGTAAAACATAACAAGTAAGGGTATGTAGTAGCGCAGCCTTAGAAGCACATAAAAGATACAAAAGACTTTTTGTTACAAGTGCCT